AAATTTATACTACTTGTAAAACTTGAAACTCTAAATAAAATTTAGTATAACTTTTAACCAAAAAATAAAAAAAATAAACATCATATGGCTTTACAGTGGGAGATTAAAAAATACAAAAAAATGAAGAATTATTTTTCTTTACTAGAAAGTACTTGCTGCACTTTTTCTCTCTAATAAGCAAGAATATATTATAATTATAGTTGAGCTTTTTTGTTGTAGTTATTTATCATCAGATCGCAAGAGCCATTTATATAGAAAGGAAAAATGTTCGTTGGACACCTTGAATTAATAAACAAATTAAATGATTTTAAAAGAAAAATGTTGCAAATCAATGTCAAGAAGCCGTTTGCAATTGAATATGTAACCTCCCTTTTAAAAATGAAACTTTCAACGATTTCAAATTACTATAATGGCTTTATTTTTGAAACGTATGTCCCCTTGTTTTTTTAAATAAATATTTTATTAAAAAAATATTCCAATAAGTCATAAGTTTTTATTTGAGTGTATGTTTGATGCCAACTTTACAAATCTGAAATATTGATTTAGAGGTCCATAACTTAGGGATAATAAAGAACCTATCAATGACCATTTTGAGTTTAAATTAACTCAAATCCAAAAATCTACTTCCAAACTATTTTATGATTCAAATCTATTAAGCAGACTTGGATTGTTATAGTTTTGATCAACTATAACAAGATATTTATTAGCATCAAATTTTGACCTTAATTTATTGTCATGATTTCTTTAAAAAAAAGAAGAAGAAGAAGAAGAAAGAAAGAAAAAGTGGAGTAGATAAACTGGGAAAATTAGTATTTCGAGGGTTAATTGAAAAAATTAATAAAAGCGTGGTCCAAAAGAAGCCAGACTGATGGATATAATTTAAAAAGATGAGAAGACAATGGTTTTGATTGAGGTGAAATTGGTCGAATTAGAAAGAAATAAAATGGAGGAGAAGGAGGAGGACTGAAAAAAAAAATTAATCAGGGATAGAATTGGAAAGAAATTAGGAGTGGGAGGTTAAAATAAAAGGGGTAGGAGATTTTATAATCACTCTTCTACTGTAGCATAAAAGAAAGAGAAAATGGGAGAACAAAACACACACACACACATAGAGTAGCCATTATGTCACACAAAAACAGCCACTACCACCAGCCCACTATTATATTTCATTATCTCTAAAACACTAATTGAGCCTTAATGAGTCAAAATTAAGCTTAAACTAAATTGAGCTATTTTTTTCAATATTTTTTAGAATTTTTCTTTCATACTCACCAAATTATACCAATTCAATCACTAATTGACTAATAATTCATAAATTAGATGAAGGAATCCAAACCTTAATTTTGTTAGTTTTAGCCAAATGTTAGCCTCTAGAATTCATTAATTTTTTTCAATTTAGATGAAATTTTTCACTTCTAACCACTAATTCACGATCAGTTAAGTCATAATCAAGACATATAACAACAATTGCATGAAAGGATCAAAAAACCCTAAATTACTAATATGGGTCGAATGTGTCATCCTTCCTAACCCTAGAAATTTTTATTTTTAATCATCAAATTTAAGTTCAATTAACCTAATTTAACTTCAATTTCATGAAATTTAGGGTTAGGACCATTTTCCTTAATTTTTCTTAACTAAGAACCCTAACCCTAATTTTCACAATTTGTGCAATTAAACCAAATTGATGCATCAAACATGAAATTAAGTTTGCTTGTGGTCTAGGTGAAGTTAAATTACTTGATTAACCTCCAAATTAACCTTGAAAAGCTAGGTTGCTTGAGAATTCTTTTCTTCCTCTTTTTCTTCCTATATTCGGATTACCTCCTTAATTTTTCTCCTTGGAAACTTTTGGCTCCCAACTTGAAATCGAGGTTTAATCCATCGATTTGAAGTACCTAAAATTGATTAGGATTATTTTGGGTAATTTTTGAGTGAAATTTTTTGCAAGAGTTTTCTTTGGGTTTTTTCTATTTTCTTAGCATTTTTAATTTTTTTCAGCACCCCTATTTGTAGATGAATTTTGTGAACTTGGTGGCCTCATATCCACCCTTGATTTGGGTAAATCTTAGCCCTTAATTTAATTCCCAATCCTTTCTTTTTATTTGGCTAAGTTTCTAGCCATTTATTATTCTTTTAGTTTAAACCTTCCACTTAGCTGAATTAAGACCATAATTTTTACTAAAAGCCAGACCTAATTAATGCTTTGAGTCAACCAAAGCTGGAGAATCTTAGTCCCTCAAGTTTTTAGAGTTTTCCATGGCCCTTTCTTTCCTAAATCCTCCTTTTATTCAAATAATCAGTTTTAGCCCTTCTTTTCAAGTTTTTAGGACCAATTTTTTACCCTTAAAATTCTTACATAATTTAATTTTAAAGTTTAAACTTTTAATTTGATGCAATTGAGTCCCCAATTTTATGCAATTAAGTCCCTAAATAAAAAATTGTATCCCATACCTCTCCAAAACCCAAATTATTTTCATAATAAATTCAAATAATTTTTAAAATAATTTAATCCTCATTTAAATAATTTTTATACACCTGTTTAGGCCTTCAAATTTATTATCTAGTGTAAAAATTACACAATTTCCTATAGAAAATATTCCTTATATATAGAAAAATCCATTTAAATTTATTAAATATTCCTATATATCATAAATTATTTTTCTATATCCTTTGAATAATTTTCTTATACTTTTAAAACACCTAATTTAATTAATTTGCCTTAAAAATACTATTCATACATATAAGAATTCAAATAAAATATTCACGGCATACCGGAAAATTCATACAACAACATAAAATAATTTAACACCCCTTTAACAAATATTCTAAGCAAACAAAACATTTTTCATGCACATGTAATACGCTCAAAATAATTATTTCACATAAAAATTACTATTCGTTCATCGTAAAATCAATAAAACATTCATTGAGTATAAAAGGATTATTTCAACTACTTTGAATATTCTTTCAAGCCTTTAAAGATTATTTTATGCCTTCAAAATATTTCTCTCATAATTTTAATATTAAATTTTATTTTTAGCAGAATACGGGGTATTACAATTGATAATTATAAATGCGTTTTCACTCAATCTCTTGGAGAATAAAGAACTAGATTACATCTTTTTAGTTCCTAGAAGGGTGGTTTAGCTTTACATATCTTTCTCTAATTAATATTATTACTGAATTAAATCTATTTAGCGTCTAGTAGCTTATTCGGTAGCTAAAGAATTAATCGAATATCATATAGTTGATTAACGACTCAATAAGTAAAGACTGGAGACTAAATACATGTTGTTGTCCTATGATGAGTAATCTTATTAAGGATAGGTTAATAATTAAATCGAGTATCAATGACCAAACTAAAAATGGATACTTAACATCAACTAAGACTTTCTTCTTATTATTATTTTTAGTTATTTTAATTACTCATAAATACCTCAAACACAAACCCCTCTTTTAGAAAGCTGTTAATTAGACCATTTCTCTATGGGTTCGACTCTTGCTTGTCCTGTCTACACCCTTAGGGTTGGGCTTGGTGAGAAAATTATAGATAACTAATTTGTTGATGGGATGACACGTTATCAAAGATGAGGAAGGAAGGAAGCGAGGGGGTGGGAAAGAGAGAAAAAAGAAGAAAATGGAGGAGAAAAAGGGAAGAGATGGAGAGGAAGAAGAAAAGAAGAGAAACGAGGAGATTTGGAGGGAGTTGCAGCCGAGATTAGAGCGAGAAATGAGGAAAAAAATGTTGGAGGCACGACTACTAGAAGAAGAAAAAGAAGAGAAAGAAAGAAAGAAGAATTTGAGGAAAAAAATTTCGACGCGAGTAGCTTTTAGGGATTAAATGTTTTAGCGACATTAAAGCTGTTGCTAATTAACTTAAAAAATTCAAAATGATTGTTTTGCCTCCAACGATAAAAAATTAGTGACAATTTACATAAATAATCGCTATTTTACTATTTAGCAACCGTGTCTTTCCCTAATTTGATAAACAATTAGATTTAGCAATGATTTTTAGTAACCGTCACTAAATCTAGTCGTAATTAAGGGCTTTTAAGCATCAGCTTGTGTAAAATCATCGCTAAAACTAATTTTTTAAAAAATTAACAACAATTTAACTAAACACTCGCTAATTTGAAGGTCATTACCATATTTGGTGACAGTTTATGTACAACTGTCGCTAAAAATAATAATATATAACTAAATTAATAATGGCTTTTAAACTGTCGCCAAAAATTAATTTTTTAAAAAGGTATTATGAAAACCGTAAAACCATCGCTACATAGTAGTTTTAAAAATGGTTTTTGAAGCCTTCGCTAAAAAAAACCGTTGATAAATCCAATTTTCCCTGTAGCGAAAGGAAAACAAAAACTATATATCATCTAGCCAATAAAAAATAGCAGTATGTAACCCACGTCCAAGGCAATTGGAATGTCACAAACAGGAGACTGACACTCGTGATTTTCCTTATTTATTAGGAATGAGAAAATAGACATGAGATTATGCTGATCATGTGTACTGCCAAAATGAGGAAACAAAAAGCACACCAGTGCTGGGATTGGCACTGCTTGCAATGACAGTGATGCGTTGCTAACAGCTAAGAGGGTGGTGTTTCAGATCTAGCTCTTTGGGATCTCGGCTGAGCATGCAAACCTCCGCATACAAGCTTCACTGAAATAAGAACTGATGTTGGGATAAAGTACTCTTTGCCATATCATTCAGTTGAGAGTAGCTCTCTTCTCTTGTACTCGTTTAACTGAAAGCCTTGGGAGTCCAGTTCATTCGAGTTTATACTTGATATCTGAAAGAAATTCATCTTGCTCGACAGAAAAGAAGCACTTCGACGTATTAACTTGCAAACTGAGGTCACTCCTATTAAATACAAGATTGAGCAACATACAGGGGAACACTTCATAGGTCATGGGAGATCCAAAACAAGAGACACCACTTCAGCTCAGTAAGTACAAGCAATTTTCTTCGGACCATTTCTTTCAGTAATATCAAAACCAACCACAGCAAATGTAATGGGATGATGGCATTCGTCCTGTTAGACGAATATATTCTGCTTGGTCTGCAGTTCTTTCAGCATCTCGATTTTTTCTGGCTTCAGCTGCAGCTCGTTTCTCTTCCAATATCTGCCTTGTCATAGCCATCTTCTTCGCCATCTTCGCATGTGCTTGGGCTTGTATTTGTTCAACTCGAGCCTGAAAATAGATCCAGTTCAATCATAGTAAGAACATTTGATCACAACATTACAGTACTCTAAATTAAGCAATGGCTGAAAGCCAAAATCTAACAAATTTAAAGACAGCACAAGTTCTAGATAGGCTGTAAATCATTTGTGATGCCTTGTCCTTTCCTACTGGTTTTGGCTAAAGAGTAACCACAAAGTTTTACCAAGTTATCAGTATCAAGTCTTATCAGATTCTCAGTCTCCAACATATCCCTCGTTCACAAAAATAAAAAAATAAAAATCTACAATATTGTGTTGAAGTCGTTTCTACTAAATGTGGACCATCATTATTCAAATACCTCTATTCTCCGCATCTCTGCTTCTAGTTTCACTTTCTGCTGATTTTCCCATGCTTGGATTTTGATTTCTTCACGTTTATATCTGAATCGTTCAAAAAAATTTCTGTCAAATTAAATTTTTGGAAATATCTTTTGGCAAAAAGCTAATCAAAGTTCCCAATTTGTTCGTGAGAATAATGATTTATATCTAGTTTAAAATGGCTAGTCTCATTGGAGAAACCTTGCTGTGTGTTTAGATTTTTCAGCCTCCTCCCATGCAGCAGCACGTTTTAAAAATTCGATCTGCTCAAGCTCCTCCGTTTCAGCAGTTTCAAGTGGAGTAAGTTTTTCCTGGTCATCTTTACTTGCCCAAGCAGCAATATTCATCTTGCCAAGCTGAACACCAAGGGCCATAATCTCTTTCCTCGTCTTTAGTTTCAATTCTTGCTCATTCAGTTCTTTTTTGCCATTTCCAGTGGCATGTTGTGTATCACCATCGGTGCTATGCTCCATGGGCGTCGGTGCTGGTGCTTGTCTTTGGGGAGTAGATGGGATTGAAGAAGTTGGGCTGCGGAATGGCGTTGTTGCGCCTACAGGTGTAGCAGTCCTTGAAGGCTCTTGACTTGTACCAGGGGTCATTTCCGTTCCCATATCCCTCATACAGACTGATCTTATGACAGGAACAACTGCAAGTTCATATCATTAAATCGTCAAGGAAAATAACAGTAGATAAAGAAGAGGGATACGATATTTCAAAAGTAAAATTTTAGAAGACATGTACATTCTTCTAGGACAAGGAAATTGGACACAATGATTTTCCACATTTATGCAGATGAGTTGAGAATCCACATCCTAACAGATTGAATATATACACAAGGCAGGCTGTTACCTATCCTAAAGGATTTAAAGCATTGTATATTACATTTAATTTGAATCATTCCAAGGATTTATGCTTGTATAGAACAATAACTTTGTGTAGCTGCTAGCTGTTGTAATTGGAAAAACACTTTGCACAGCCCCAAGAGACTTGGAGTTCAATCTCCCTTACTTAGAATGAAAGTGTGTGTGTGTGTGTGGGGGGGGGACGACGTACATCCTGTTAAACCCATCCGTTCTTTAACAGTTAAAAAAAAACAAAAAAAAACAAAAAACAAAAAATGAAAAAAAAAAATGAAAGAAACACTAAAAAGTAATCAGTAAACTTGCATGGACTAACACGGTTGCCCTGGATAGTCCACTAGTTTTGCAAGTCCACAAGCCTGATTATTTGCCCCGCCACCACCATAACCATTTGACTGGACAGACCCTCAACAGTTGGTTCCCACTTCCCCTAATTGTCTGCCCACCAGTAACAGACCTACTCAAATGCCATTAATGAATTCTTAGTGAACACATAGGTTGGCTTTCCTCTAGGATTGTTAAGTGACTGCAGGCAGATAGAGATTGAAGATATCAAGCACAGAAATAAGGATGCGAATTGGACTTCCTCTTTAATCATTTCGATAGAGGGACATCAAGCGGAACAAATAAACTATCATTACCAAGATACCGTTATGAATCAATGAAACATGCACTGTCTTAGTGTCTTCGATTTCCTTCTACACAACACTCATTTGTTTCAGACCATGTCATTTTAGTCCAAATCAATAACAAAACAATAGCAATGAGATCCTCAAATTACAAATTAATAAAGCAAAACATGCGCACAAATTTACCTGCTGAATCTTGTGCTGAACTATCTGTACAAGATAATTCCCTTTGATCCATTTCCTTCAAATCTGTACTCTGAGCACATTGATCGACTAGGGTGTTAACCCCATATGCTTGACCGGAAATGGTGGGAGATCCAGGAGGAATGAAAGAGAATTTTTCAAAACCCAGTTGTGAAGAAGGCTGGCAGAAATCTACATGCTTAGCGTCTGCGACCCTGCTATTTGATAATTTAGGATCATAATTTGACAACTCTGGAGCAACCTTCTCCATAATTGCTACTGAAGACCGATTAGCTTGGTTGTGTAAAGAAGTATTCTTCTTAACATAATTAGGTTGTACATTCTGCCTCTTCATTATCCATTTCTCTGCATCATTCCACTTAGAAGGCATAGGCCTTGAAAATCGTCTTGAAAGTTGATTATTTAACGATCTCTCATTATGAAACTCAAAGCTAGATGAACTAGCATTGCTATCGTAATCAAGATTCTCATCTTCTACTGTTCTGACAGGGTGAACTGCACTTGAATTGCCCTTTTCACACTTTGTAAACGGCTGCATTTTAACACGACCAGTGTCACCAATTTCCTTGCGTAACGTCTCCATCTGCTGGCCAGATACCTGACCAGCTTGGGAGAGGTCCAACACTGCCTCACCTGGCAAGTAAACAGATGCAACTTCTAAGTTTGGAGCTGCAACTGGAGACCATAGTTCCATATAGATAACAAACATGATACTAGATTTTCAATATAGGACGAAATGAAAGGGAATTATACCAACCTTCTTCACTGAAATCTCCACAATTGGAAGCTAATAAGCTGTTCTTGACAAATTCAGTATCCTCAAGCTTGGAAGGAGATGTTCTTGGAGAATTATTATTTGATCCATCCTTCATTCTGTGATGGTGAGCTCCTAAGAGCTTCATCCTCAGCTTACTGGGAGATATTATACCAGTCTGCATTTGATCAATTAAAAGAAAATATTATACTGCTAAGATGCAAAATTGAAGCAATATCAATTTTCAAACCTTTAATCCACATCTTAATTGCCAACAAAGGTTTACTAAAATTAGTTTCGACCCTTTATTTTAAAGGCACTTAAAAATAGATACATCTTTTAATGCAACTAACTTAGAAAAATTAAAGGTATTCAACTTCAAAAAAAATAAAAATAAAAACTATAATTTGTGGATACAAGAACCAAACTGTCAAAAAAAAAAGGGGAAAATAAAAATAAAGAAATCCACACCAACATTTTTAGTTCACGAAAAAGAAAAAGAAAAATAAATAGAGAATCTTACCAAAAAGAAAAAGAAATGATATGGTTGCTTACATTACATGCATTAAAGCAGTTAATAATTAGTGAAGGAAGGGGAAAACGGACGTGAAAAGAAAAACCCATAAACTAAAAAAGCAAAAGAAAGAAAGAAAGAAGCCATTTAGTTGAAAAACAAAACAAAAAGAAATGATTCATACCTGCACTTTGTGTATCCTCTCGTAATCCATTAGATCTCTCTCTTCTCTCTCACACAGTAAACTCTCTGGAAATAAAACCAAACCACCACCCCCCAGCAGCAGCAGCGAAACATGAGTGCATCACGCTTTCCTGTGCCATTACTTATTAGTCGAATAAATTATAAATTAGTCCCTCTAGTTTTGCAAAACGAATTGAATGATTACTTCACTTTCAAAAACTAATTAATCAGTCCCTTTTCTAATATTGTTTATTTTTAATTTACTATTAATTTGTTTTTAAAAAAATCAAGTTTTCTAATCAATCTTTCCATAACATCTATATAGCTTTTACCTTCTTCATTTTTTATATAAAAAATTTAAGAAAAGAAAATAATTAATTAATTTTTCAAACTAAAGGAATTATTTAATTCGTTTAAGAAAACTAGAAATACTAATTTATAATTTACTCGATCATCTCAATGGGATGTTTTGACAAATAAATGTGAATTCAAACTTCTCTCGCCACGTCAACACTGGCCCGCTTTTTTTCATTCAATTTCCGAAAGGGACCCACTCTTAGTCAACCCAAAAATCGTTGCCTGGTCGGTCGGTGATTTCTTAGTTTGACCAGCCGATTTTTCATCAATGTTTAAATGATGACAAAAGGGAACGTGGGAAATGATTAAGACCAGGTTTGTTGGACAGTGGGGATGGCCCAACTATGCAAAAACTGCAATTTTTCACTTTCCTTTGCTTTTTGCTTTACAGTCTGCAATCCATTATTGTACTGATTTATACTGTATATACATTGTTTTGCTCTAACCACCCTCCTTGTCCTGACTAGCCGCTCATATAGTGTATTAAAACTAAATAAATGTGTCATTATCTATCCATCACCAAAATTTTAAATTTTTTAATAAATAAAATTCTAGCTGCTTTGAATAATCATTTAAAAAAAAAAAAAGCATATAAGGTGTAAGTAAATTCAGTGTTTTTAGCTTTATTAAGACATGAACCTGTGATTATTCTTATATTTTTACCTCTAAACAAAAACGACGACAGAACCTGCATATAAAAATTTAGAAAATAAAGATTTCATATCATATAATTATAGCGAAGAAAACGGGTTACAGAAAAAGCGAAAGAAAGTGGTTAGATGATAAGCTTTTTTGACACTTGATTGATTGCCTCAGAATGGTCCCCGGCCCCATCCATCACTCAAATTTGACCATCTTGGATTCTGTTTCCAATTTCTCCACCTGTAATTTCGCCCGCCTGAACGCTTACGTTTCTTCCCCTTTCGTTATCAAGAAATTTGACCCAACAAAACCTTCGTCAGTGAATTAATGATTTAACTATCCAATCAACAGTTAAATCAATCACCAAGCTAACATTTCAATTTGTTCTCTAGAGTATTTGGGTTTTCTCAATTTTACTTAAAATTTTTTATTTGTTTTAATTAGATTTAGTACTATAAAATTTGTAAAAACTATAAAATTTCTCAAGAAATTAAGTTTTTGACTTTTTTTTCCTAAACTATAAAATTTTTAAATCTTAATTCCTAAATAGGATGATTATAAACCTATTTTCTAAAAACTTTTTAATATTAAAATTGTAATGGATTGAATTTGAACCTAATCAGAATATATCTTTATTTAATGAATAAATATTGAACACTATAGACTCTAACAGGTACATAATTCTATAACGCCTTGAAACAATCGTCTTTGAATTTTGATGCCCTGTTCTTTTAGGTCATTTACTAATATCCAACGTATCAATTATCAATTCGACATCTTTTGGTATCCTTTCCCTATTTTTTAAGTACGGATTAGTCACCTAGCTTAGCTAGGTCTATTGAATTCAGTACTACATTACTGCTAGTAGAATTTTTCTCCATGGAGTAGAATTCCTTCCACATACGTTGTCGAGGCACACAAAACTCGGTTCCTGATATTCGAGAGTCGAATTTTTCTCCACGGAGGGAAATTCCTTCGACATATGTTGCCAAGACACACAAGACTCGGTTCATGGATTTTAAATTAGGAAATTCTATACCAATATAAAAAAATATCAAAAAAATTAAATTATTGAATGAGACCTATAAATGATTTTATATTACTTTCTAATAAAATAAAAATGAGATTCAAGTTAAAAATTGTGACATTTGAATTCGTAATGATTTAATTATCAAAATTCTAATATTATGTCAAATAATTATTTAATTTAAAATTTTAAATTATTGGATAAAATTTTTAGTTTCAAAATTTAAAAATGGCACGAATGCATCATTTACCAATAGCAACAATTTAGAGAGAGATCTGTGCATCGGTACATGATTGCATGGATGATTGACAACGATATGAATTAATTGGGAGTCTTCGGCTCTTCCCTTAAAAAATAACTTGAAAAATTGGCTAACAATGAGGGTGAGTATTATTCGGTTAAAACTAAAAAATCGAACCGAATTAACAATTTTGATTCGGTTTAAAAAAAAACCAAAATTAATTTAGTTTGGTTCGGTTTTTTTTTTCAAATTCGGTTTTCACCGAAAACCGAATTAGTTTTTTTAAAAAAACACATACCCAAACTTTTTTTTTTAAAAATCAAAGAGGCACCTATTGGTTTAACTAAAAGAACAATAGCTTTAATGATTTTTTTCTACTTAAAATAGAAATATTTTCCATTAATTATTTATTGAAATAATAAAATAATTGATTATATTATATTGACTCACAAAAAAATAAAAAAAAGGTCTGTGATAAAGAAATTCTTTATAAATACACAAATTTATGTGTGGGTGAATCCTAAAACCTCATGAAAAAAAATGTCTCCTTATATTAAAATTGGCACAAACATAAATTAAAAATTGGATTTTTCATATTATATATTCAATAATAAAATATGCACAAAATAAATAGATTAAAAAAAATATGAAAAATTAATAAAAAATCAATTATAGCGTGATTGAAAAAATAATAAGAAGCCCAATTAATTTAGTTTATAATATAAATAGAAAACAATTTAGTATACAAAAATAATAATAATAATCATGTATAATTTTCTTATAAAATCAAATATGAAATATGCAATCTTTGATTATGCAAGTTTGATATTTTTTAAAAGCAAAATAATTTGATTTTTAGAAGAAAAAATGCAAAAAAAAAGAGGTTTTTAACCGAAAATCGAAAAACCAAACCTCAATTTGGTTCGATTTCTATTTTTGTTTTAGCTAATTTGATTAATTGAAATCGAACAAAAAAATCGAATGATCACCTCTACTAACAATCATCACATGTAGTTTGGCCGACCAGTATTCAAGAGAACATTAAGTTTCATTTCACATGCTGAGTAGCAATTAATATATTTTTGGTATTATCGAAATCAATCCACATTTACATCTGATGTTTCAAAATTCTTAATATATTCATTTTGTTCCCCAACATAATGTTTTTTTAAAAAACAAAAAAACAAAAAAATTAGCGGCTTGTTTTTTAATTGTAGTTTTCATAAAAGGTTACGTAGATGTAACTTAGTGGACATTTGGCGGCGAGGCATCTCAATTTCCCAATCTAGGAACCTAAGATTCCTTAAAACTACCTTTATTTCCCAATCGGAAAGCTTGTTTTATCATAGTCTGTCAATCTGAATAGAATATCTGTAATGCCTGAATAGAATTTTTGTTATCCATATTGCTGCATTTTATGGCTGTAAACTTATTTGGTAATTTGCAATAAAATTCAAGCGGTGGAATTCAAGTAACTTGATTAGATTGCTCTTTTTTTTTTTTTTTTGGCCCACTGTAGATCAACTAAAGCATGTCTATTCCAGTTTGAATGGTTCTCTTAAATGCTTGTAGTCGCCATGTCTTAAATTTCCTGAGAGCAGAGCTCTCAACCGAGCCAAACCCATTAAATGCATGCTGTTGACGATCCTGTTTTTGTTCGGCAAGTTACATGTCTTCCATATTCCACTTTTAACGCTATCAACACATTTGTACCAACAAAAGTATTGATGCAAAGGCCGACAAGTTTCTTTAGACCACAAAAAAAAAAAGAAAGAGCATGAACTCCTGTTTAAATAGTTTTTAAGAAAAAACAACCCAAAGTCTAAAATGTTTCGAGTAGGAAAAATTATGCTAAAATATCCTAATCACGCTAATATTATTTAATATAATTTTTTTTATAAGTCATTTAAATGGGTCAACATCAGAAAACAAGAAGTCAGATCTCTTATGTTTGAAAATGAAAAAGAGAAGAGAAATTTTGGGCAAACCATTCCAACATTAATTTCATTTCAGGACCATAATATGCTCTGGTCTTTCTTTCTTCGCCCTAAACAAATTCAAACTCTTACAACTATCAAAGAATTTTAAGACCATCGTTAAGTGCACACCTCATGGATGTTATGCAACACGATATTCAAAATCTCTTATTTAAGTTTTAGATTTTGCAATAAAATTTTGTATTAGGGGAAGAAAGTTAAAGACATGTGGGACAAGCGACACTAGAGGGGCTAATTCAAAAACATGAGGTTTGACTACAATAGCGTTTGCGATCTTTTAGCTCTCTCATGGGTCCCTTGGATAATTGATTTTCTTCCAACCTTTGAAAGTTTTGGTACAAAGTCACTTTTCTTCTTCTTTATGTTTGATCAATGATTGTATGGGTTTGGCTTTATGAAAATTCTACAATGCCCGCACTAAGTTAGGAAGATGGATGTCTTTCCATGCCTTTGTCCCTGTGTGAACCATACATGGCAAAAACAAAATTGAAGAGTTAGATATTTTATATCATTATATATTATATCACCAATACATATAGTATAAACATATTTATTTATCATTATATAATCCTCAGTCTCTCATTTGTTTTTAGATTTTCAATTACACATATTTATTCTTGAAATTTTTAAAATTTTCAATATATCATTCCGATTAAATTTTTCGACAATGAATTTTTTTAATTAAAATACTCTTTACTAAAATATGAAAAAATTTAAAAAAAAATACTTAAAATCACATGATCTACTTGTTCTATTTTTAAAGTCTTTAGATTTTTTTTTCTTGCATTTTAATCAAGAGCATTCGGGTCAAAAAATTTTATTGGGTTGGCAAAATTGATCGGAATGACAAATTGAACGTTTTAAACACTTTTAGGAACAAATGACGTGCAATTAAAAAAATTTAGACATATGACAAATTTTGAATAACATATAAGGACATATAAGTACATTTAACCATAAATATATTCTCAAACTTCAATTATTGTACTGTATCCTTATTAAAAAAAAAATAGGAAGAAAAGAAAATTTTGTTAGCAGATTCCAACCTTAATATAACTTAAAACACAATTAAAAAAAAAAAATTGTTACAATGATTATATATATGCGTGCGTAACTTAGACTATTTTATCATCAAAATTGTGAAATACAAGACTTTAAACTTTTAGATTTAAAAGTACAAAATCAAATTTTATCATAAAATAGTTATTTGGAAATGATTTTTAAAGTTCAATTTGAGTTTAGAAGATTTAGTTGAATGTGTGAATTTATTTATTTGTAAAAAAATAAATAAAAATAAAAAAAAAGAAGAAGAAATAATTTTTGGATTTTTAGTTAGACCGGCAATATTTGGCGGTATCCAACTATATTTCTAGATTTTAACTGATTTTCCAGAATATGGAGAGCCACAGACAAGATTCGGTTTGGTTCTTAAACTTCATGGTCCTTTAGTTTTTCATGGTGTTCATTATGGCTCTCAAACTTTCAATTGGTTTAGATAAATCCTTATTCAATATTCTTACATTTCTTAAGTAAAATTGATTATTGTATATGCCATATTTATGCTTCTTCTTTTTTTATTTGTTGATTTGAAGTGATATTTGTGAAGTTCGGATGGTTGTTTAAGATTAATTAGGATTTATTTTGATCATCTTGTGAATATAGGGATTGTTTCAGTTTTATGGTGACCGGAGATGTTTTGATTTGATTTTTGGCTCTAATATAACTTAGATATGTTTATTTTAAAGTAATATCTCTATTTTTATAATTTTAGAATATCCTTTTCAATTTGTTTCTATTCATAATTCATTTTGAAAATGAGCTTGTTTCATTATTTTAATTTTCGACTTTGATTGTTTTATGTAAGTCAGTTGATATGCACATAAATTTTTTTTTTAACACTAGTTTAATGTTATGTTAGTATTTTAAAATTAAATCATGACTTCTATCATAATAGAGTTTTGCAAAATCATATTGTCTATTATAAATTATCACACTACTTTTTTTTGTCGCTGCCCAACATATAGAACTTCTAAATTAAAAGAGTAAAAAACAAAGTTATTATTTAGTTCTTTAAAATGGACTATGAATACTAAGATACATTGGTTTCAAAAAAATGGATAAAACTTGACCTAATATTGGATTTGGATGAAATTACTCACCTGAAATCACACATGTAAATAATGCAATGGCATGATATGCAAAATATTGTAAAACAAGAACCAAAATGATAATATTTTTCCTAATGCAAAATATTGTATTATATTTGTCATGTAAAGAGGATATAACCCATTTTTCAACTCCAAAAAAATTGATAAAAATTTATTTACTAAAAAAATTAGAAAAAAAATCATATATATATATAGGGGTGTTTGTGTGTTATAATTTTTAATTATTTTACAAATTTTGATTTTTTTAAACATGCCGGTATTTTTTTCTTAATTTTCAGAAAACAAAAGAAAAGAAAAAAAAACATAAAAAGGTCCGGAAAAAAAATTAAAAGTTAGGATAAAAAAAGTTGAAAAAGGCCACAAAAAAGCTAGAAGAAAAAGAAGTAGGGACAAAGCTAAATGGAAATAACTGGAAAGAGAGAGGAAAAAAAAGAAGAAGAAGAAGAAAAGAAAAGATGCGAGGACGAGGATTGAAAGAAAGTGTAAAGAATGAGGATAAGAAAATAAAATAAAATAAAATCTTTGATTGGGGATATAATTAATAAATATAAGAAAAGAAGGACTAAAATAAAGAAACAATAGTGAAACTAAAAAAGAAAATAATAAGAACCAAAGTGGAAAAAGGAAAGAATGGGAAGGAGAAAAAAGAACTTTCATTTATTGAAACAACATCTCTTTGAAGGTAAGGGGGAAAAAAAAAGCCAACACCACTATTCATTCACTCCTCCTCCTCTCCCCCCACCCCCTCTCCTCTTTTTTTTTTTTTTCCCTTTCCTGCACTTGTTTTTGTCCATTTTTTTTCATGGTGAATAGTCTTTTTTCACCCTTTCTCCCATGTTGAAATATCTTACCAAATCACAAAAATAAAAAAAAATAAAATAAACAATAATAATAATAACCACTATTTTCCTTTACACCTCCGTTTTATTTTCACGCTACAAGAACATTCTCTTGACTCTTCAAAGACACTACTTCGAGTCATTAAAAAGTGCTTCCAACCACCACAAAATAATTATGAGGCATATGTTCTTCGCTTTTTTTCTCACCAAACCACACCATTTGAGCCTCCAATCCTGAATGCAATAAAGGACAAGAGTGACAGATTACTTAGGTACTTGTAGGGTGTGGAACATTCATAATAATCAAAGGCCAAAACTTGATGAAAAAAAAATATCTAAAAAATACTATAAGAAGACAATTTTGTTATGAAATAATGAATATCTATATAAATGTTCATATGCTTTTCATATCCTCACTACTTATAATTCTTAATGTGATTTAATTCATCATTCAAAATGAAAAATTAAAATGATATAATTGATTCAATAATTTATGTACTTTTAATTATTCATAATTCCTTCAAATTCTCTTTTCAATTTTGAAGCCTATAAATAGACTTGATTATTTATTAGTTTGTGTACAAGTATTTTGTAAAGATTAAGAGAATTATTTAAAGTTGTTACCTCTTATATTCACTTTATTCAATAGAGAATTTATTTTTCTATCATCTTTTTTTTCAATTATACTATTGTTGTTATTTCTTTTATAACATGTTATCGGCATGATTGCTCTACCAAAAGATGCAAATCATCTAGACTATTAAGAGGTATGTATCGATTTATCTTTTACTTTAAATCTAATGGTATGTATAATATACATTTGAAAAACTTGAATGATCTAATATATATTTTAATTACCTAATGTATGTTATTTGAGAAGTTCTGAATTTTGTTATTATGTTTGTTGTTATTTTCTAATATTATTATATCTTGTATTATAGAATTTTTATCACGTCAAACCTCACAAAACTTGATTTTGTGGCTCTTGACATTTCAAACAAGAATTATTTATCATGAATGCTTGATGTTGAGATACATTTAAATGCTAATGGTCTTTGACAAACAATAATGGATGATAATCGGGAATCCTTACAAAATTGTGCTAAGGCAATGATCTTACTTTATCATCATCTCTATAAGGATTTAAAAGCTGAATATTTAAGCGTAAAAAATCCACTTGAACTGTGAAAAAAATTAAAAAAAAATAACCAAACTAGCTAGATTAACACTAATTAATTCAGATTAATTATTTTAATTAACATAAAAGTAATAAAAAATTAACTAATTAATCAAAACTAAGCTAACTCGTTAATATAAATAGGTAATATACTTGAAAAAAAAAGTAGAGAGATTACTAACAACGGGGAGAAAAATAAACAGATTTAATGGAAGAAACACTTGGTTTTTTAGGGAGAGAAGAGCACTATAAGCTGTTGAAAGAGGCTAGGGGGAAGCTGCATTGCTTTGGGTGGCGTAATTGGGTCTTAGCACTCATCGAGCTGCAAAAGGAGGAGGAGGGGAGGAGGAGAGGGAAAAGAGAAACAAAATGGGGAAGAAGAGAGGCTTTGCCCAATTTAGGGATTCCAATTTAGTGACGGACGCGATTTAGTCGCTAATCCCTTGCAAAATAGTGAGGGAAGAACGTGTCCATTGCTAAATAATGTGAAATTGTAAGTTAGCAACGGATAACAAAATTCCATCATAATTCGGTGTCTATTTAGCTATGGATTTTAGTTTCCATCGCTATTACTCTTGTTTTTTTTTTTTTTTTTTTAACATCAATTCGGAAATTGGTTATAATTACACATTAGCAACGGAAACCAAATTTTGTTGCTAATCCTTCGATGATTAGCAATGGAACAAAAAATTCTATCGCTAATTACGTTGTTATATTTTCTCAATACTTTTCGAGTTTAATCAAATTGTGTTTTAGTGACGAACTTAAATTCTCTCGCTAATTTCTATTTCTAAACGGCTATCATTTTGTTGCTAATTTCTTTTGATTTCAAATTAGCGACCAAAATTAATCCGACACTAAAATTCCGTTGCTAAAATTCCATCGCTATTTCGTCTCAAATCCATATCAAATTGATTTTGTTGCTATTGCATCACAAATCCATCACAAATTAAAAATGAAAATTTTTCAATCACTAATTTACGTCGCTAAATGGCAAATTTCTTGTAGTGACATGATGCTCAAAATTTCAATAGCAAGATAATTATGGAACAGTGCTAACATAAGAAAATCAAGCATTGCTAATTCTTCACAAAAAAGACTAAAGATGAATCTGAAAACAAAAATCTGAAAAAAAATAAAAATAATCTTACATAAGATGGTGTAAGTCATTTTCCTTCGCTATCATTTCCTTTATAAAAATAAGATGCATTTTGTCATCTAAAAGAATTACATTTGCTGGATTAATGATGCTACAGAATATAAGCAAAATTACTGGAAGGTCACCATAAATATCGTTCTATAGACTACCTTTTTTTTTTTCCCTCCCACGTGCTTCCTCTCCAAGAATAAATTGGTGGAATCGTCTTCATCCTCTGTAGGGCTGCTATTGTTTTTTTTTTTCCAACGGGATAGCGGGTTACACTGAAAGGATAGTCCTCTCTCATCTATAATTTCCAATATCCCAATATCCCGCCATTTCCAAGATTTGAACATAAGACCTTTGCGTGGAAATTTCAGGTTTCAACCACTTGGAGGCAAGCTAACCGTGGATTCTAGCTCAATTTCTTTGAAAGAATCACTTTCTTCAGAAGAAGAGTTATCTAGATGTGTTGATGAGATTCACATGAGAGGAGAGGAATAATCTGAGTCCATACAGCACGCTGATCTAAATGCTAATACTAAATACAGATGTTAGCAGGAGGGATGCTGTTGAATCTGACCAATTAAAGCCTCACAAAGGGAAACTGCTAAGTTGTTTTTGTTATTTGTTTTTTTGTTGATTTTCTTGGTAATCGTACACACAAACATTGCTTTGTAAGCAGCATAAGGTAGCTCCTACTAATTAAGTTATTGCTTAATTCGATATAAATGAAATTCTTTTATTCACCGTAAATACAAAAAGAAATTAATTTCGATTGCTAAGATAGATGGAATAGATCTCTCTCAATCTTGCGTAATAACCTACTCTTCTTCTTTGCTTCTGCCTCATTTTTTTTTTAGCATCATCTGATTAAGAGAGAGATGTTGACAGCTTTGGTACGTACATTGTTGCTACTGACAAAGATGACCCGAAATATGTCATACTTAATAACAAAAGAAAAGCGTTCAAGATAAGGTAGCATGGTCGTTCTGCAATCGGAATTTAGAATCCATGAATAGCAAAAGTGCAAAGATTTCCATACATAAAGACATGCCACTCTAGGCTGCTGCAAACTTTTGCAAGTCAAGCAAACTCCAGAATTAGCACCTTCCATCTTATGGAATTGAGACTTGAATAGAGCTAAGGTGGCATAGGAGAGGTCATTAATAATATCGCCAGCTTCCGGTGATACATAATTTATGTTCATAGAAATTGTGTCTCCTGTGCAAAGTTTTGCAGCAGAGGAATCATCTCTTGAATCTCTGGCATACGCATCAAAAAAGCTATGTTCGATCAATATAGCCATGCTTGATGTGTTTGATAACATAGATACCTGCGGGTGAAAACATTTGCCGGAAATTATTACAACTTACGTACACAAATACTCATATTCATATTTAGAACTTACGTATTATTATTATTATTTTCTTAAGAGTAAGAGTATTTTTAAATTAATTGCATGTTAATTGAGAGTTTGGCGCGATTTTAAGGATGCAATTTTTACATTCATCTTGTGTATTAAAAAGAATTTAATAATTTTTTTCAAAGTTTAAATTCAGAAAATAAAGAAAAAACAAAAGTTGTTTAACCTCCGGTTCAACCTGGTAGAGTTAACTTGCGCTTGTATTGCAAAAAGAGAAATAATGCACTCACACACACCCATCAACCTAGATTTACAAGTATATTTTGGTCGTACAATTTTATAATTATGCCAACAAGTCCTTTAAAAAGACATGAAATTTTATTATCTTCTTATTATTTTTTTGCCCTAGAAACCTTCAAGGATTTATGTAGATAATAAGTAGTTTGATCCTTCAATATAAAAATATGCAATCACATCATTATTTATTCAATTGAAATAGGACTACTATTATTATAAAATTGGACATAAAGAACATTATACAACACAATGATGGTTTTTTTTTTTAAATTAACTATCATACCGAATAATATATACAATGATGTTTTTTAATTAAGCGTATATCATACCAAATAATATATACAATGATAAATTGATGTGGATGAAAATATCTTATGAGGTAGAATAAGATTTTTTTAAAAATGGGTTGATAATGCATAGAAATTGCTGTCATACCAAATGTTACAAGATCAAAAAAATGATGTATTATTTGGCATTACTTAAAATGCTAGTTGAAGAATTACAGTGCTAGTTAGGTCTACGACTAAAAAGAAGAATGAACTTGATATATATATATATATATATATATATACACCAAGCAAATCTTTCATATTAATTCTAGCCAAGGAAAATTCATAGAAATCGCAATAGTATTAATATTCCAACTTACTACTACTACTAATAATAATAAATTCCAACTTACTAGCTCTCCAGTTAACAACTCTTTGTTTTCGCAAGATTTCTTCATCCATCCTCCATACCATATGATCTGAAGGGGAAAATAGCTTTGTTATACACGTTTAATAAAAATTCAAAAGAAAATAGCTTAGTTATACACATTTAATTAAAATTCAAAAAGGAAAAAATTTACCAATTTTTGTTTTACAAAAAATGATAATAGGATAAACTATATTGATAGAAGGGAATTTAAGCAAATATCAATCTTACTTTCCGATAAGCTATGGCATTTAACTAGACCGATTAGGTATCTCATCCGAGTGTACTTGTGGAGACCATAGAAAAAGAAAGAAGAAGGAGATGGTTGAAGCCTTAAAATTATTTCCTAGTACGAATAATCGAGGTAATATATTATTTTTCCTATTATATATATTGTTAAAATATTTATGTGCAATGTGTACGTGTGGGAAATATGCATGGTGATATACATGGAATAGTAACGAGAATGAATTGAGAGCGAGAGTTAGTTATACGCACCATGTAACACCCCGGCCTTAGTCATATTTCTACTACCCAAGTAGAGTATCGGACGAAGCGCGTTACGGCGACATACCCTAAACTCTAAGTAGTTTTCTTATGATATTCTTAGGACTTTAACGAGTACATTACGTATATAACTCCTTAAGATAAAATTTACATAACATAATTAAATACATTAATAAAACATTACGGGCGATATTCAATTTCTCACGAACTTCATACCCCAAATTTACGGAAAAAATAAAAACTAATATATGGTGCCTTACATGAGTCGGTTAGGAGGAGCCAACCGCATCTATACCAACTTGTCCTTTTTCTGTCAAGACATAAAAAAATAACAACGGGGTGAGCCGAAGCTCGGTAAGCGAGGTGATGCACGTGATATGCAATGTTGTTTTGACTTCCCACCATACTCATAAATTTTAATCTCGGGTACCCTAGGTATTAGCTAGTCTACTTTATTTATCATCCGAGTGGTCCGCGAGATCACCTTCGCTACAATGGAATTATCCCTCATTGTAACTACCGTTAGCGAGAATCCATCGTCTAACGAGTGCAAGCACACAACTTGATTTCATCCAAATGATCCTCGGATCATCTTCTGCTACAACGAAATTATTCCTCGTTGTAACTACTATTAGCGAAAATCCATCGTCTAATAGTGCGAGCACACGACCTAGAGTACCGGACTACTAATACCCATTTATTCCGGTTAGGTTATTAAACCTAGACGTATAAACCATTTCTCAATCAATTTGCCTTGTCTTAAACCACCCACTTATGATGCACGTGATGACATATTTAATCACATTCAACCAAATTCGGATACCACCCCTTCATTCTCATGCCATACTCATGGTCCAATCCACACTCGGAATTTATCCATTGCTCACATACCAATCATGATACCCACGAGTGGGACACAACCTCCACTCATTAATATTGTTAATTAGTTTCGTTAATATTTAAAAGAAGGTCCAAGTCCATTTACTTTAATCCAAGCCCATTAACTTTATCCTAAGTCCATTGACTTTATTCAAATCCATTTTATTTATTCTAAGCCCATTTAGTTTATTCCAAACCCATTAATTTTGTCCAAGTCTAATTCTTTGGTTTTAGGGTTTATTACCGGGCAACTCCTAATCGAGTAAATAATTTTTCAATATCAGAACAAAATTAAATCTTACCCATTTTATTTTAGATACTAGACATATTTATTTATAACATATCCAAAAATTAGGTCTAAATACCAAGTACACAATTAATTACAAATTTTTGAAACTTAGGGAGCAATCTGCCTAGTAGTAGTTTGTCTAGAGCTATCCATACTAAATCGGTTATAACTCTTCATACTCGAATCCAATGACCAAGAAATTTTAAAGGCAGTTATTTGAAACATAGATGAAAAACTTTTATTCTTTAAGTTTCACCCAGAAATCGACCTAAAATCCTTGAACATGCACCCCAAAATTCGGACAGAATTTACTCCTTATCAACACTAATTTATTACTTCATTCCAAGCCAACTTTAAACATGTTTTTGTTCACTTAAATTTAGTCCAAGTTCAATCCAACCCATCACCACATACTTGGACATTTTTTAAAAAATCATAACATCATAAATCATCACAATAAGGCATCCATACATAGATTTATCCCAAGCATCAAGCATATAACCATTGAAAATTATTACAACCCATGAAATAAACACTAACAGAATAACTTAAAAAAATAATTTAAGACAATAATCAGCCAAAAAAATGAAACCTACTTACCTCTTTTAGGTTTGATTAGAATTTCCTTAGCTTTTTTTCTTTCCTTTTTCCCTTTCTCTTTCTCTTTTCTTTCTTTCTCTCTTTTTCTTTGTTTTTCTCTTTTCAATTTGGCTTCTCCTTTAATTACGGATGGCTATGGTTTTTGGCCTAAAAATGACAGCCATTTAATCCTCTCTTTCCATTATATACTCACCTTTTATCCTCTCATTTATTTATATCATAAGTGTTAAAATTTAACTAGGCCAAATGTAAAGTGGAGGAAGCTTGGAAGGCAAAGCTGGCATGTTTTGGAAGTCAAAGGTGATGATTTGGCTTCCAAGCATTTAATTCAAGTGCTTAGGTGGCTAAAGAAACTTAGGCTAAATAAACACATTAATAAGTTGGGTTCATGTAATTAGACATAATTTCTTTCATAAAAAATTCAGAAATTTCCATTTTTAAAACTCGGAATTTCTTTTTCCCCAAAATTTCAGCGAGTGTTACCTCCTAACCCATCTATACTAAAATGTGCATAACTCTTTCTATATGTATCCAAAAATAATGAACTTTTATAGAGAGCTATTACACACATAGAAAAACAACTTTTATTCTTTACGTTTTGCTCAAAAATCAATCTAACGAGCATCAAATAAATCTCACAAGATTCGGGCGATTCTTCTTCCAAAATTCCAGCGAGAATGCATTTCGAATCAACTCTTACTATAATTGGTATAACTCTTAATGTATAGGTCCAAATATTATAAAATTATATACAGGCATATATAGGTCAACACATAGATGAACAACTTTCATTCTTTAAGGATGACCCAAAAATTACCCTAAAGTTCTCAAATAATTCACACAAAACTCGGGCGGAATATAGTCCTTAAAACACCGATTTTGCATATTTGATTTCTTTAATAATTAAACCATTAATCTTAAGCACAATAACTTTAATTTAACATAAATCACATATTTCAAGCATTAATTTCTCATTATGAAATGAGAATTATACTTACTCTTAATATACATATATATATAGAATTATTCTAATACACGTCGCGTTACGGATAAGGGTTTTTACGGGGGTTACACACCATGCACACCGAGTGTTTGTTATATTGACTAACCCACACGGACACGAAGAGTGCCGGTTGTCAATTGTTCCAAGAATCTCGAGCTAGGAAAATTCTTCATTTCGGAGACTCGCATCAACCAATGATGAGCACGCAAGGAATGATGTAGTTAGATAGTTTGTTATTCAATTTTCTTATTGTAAATATTCTAGAACATACACTGTTGTATAAAAGAGAAAACTTACCGGAATTGTAGAGTATGATTTTGAATCATCAATACAAATACATTTCTCTTCTCGTCGTGCTGCTATATCTCATTCCTCTATTTTAACATGGTATCGAGCCTAAGATCACAATCCAATAACCTTTATTCAAACCTTGCATTTCATCCTTACTTCTCCATAAACATAAGCACTGAAGAAAACACAAAAAACGAGTGCATCCGGACCCAATGTAGCACCGAGTCATTGATTTTACAAATCCACTTCACATTCATGCTTCGACACACCAAATCCGGTGTTAGTTCCGAAAGAGTTGGAGCTCAAAGGCATGGAGAATTATGGAGTGTGGTCCAGAGCTATGAAGATTTCTTTAGAAGCAAAGAATAAATATGGATTTGT